CCTTTCACGTACGCCACTCTAATCTCGGAACGGCTTAGGCATAAAGAAAAGATGTTCGCCCGTCTGCTGAATGTTAAATTCGCAATTAAATTCAACAACTGATTCGCTATTTAGTCGGTTTTATGGCAACATTTTTACATTTTAATTTTAAGCGCTCTACCGGCTTATATTAGTCGCATTTGAAATTTTAATTTTGCGCTGCCGGAAAATTTTCGCGGACGTCCATTTGAATTTCGCTGCTTCCATCAATTATATTATTATTCTTGATATCCAGAGAGGTTTTTCTTCATGAATTCCTCAGCGAACTGAATGGAATTTTGAGTTTATTTTTTTTTTTCAGTTGACTATTCCACTCTTGATCTCGAGAACCAATCAGAATCGACCATTTTCATGGTTTCTTCTGTATTCTAGCGATATTTTTTGTTTATTAAATTTTATCGGACTTGCTCTACCAATACAGAAGCCGAATTGACCCACACGTGACCAACTAACCTCGTTTAACAGCGATAAAATTTTGACATCGTGTCTGGTCAAAATTGCTTTGGATTCATATCTGAGACAATAACCTAAGTTCCTACTTTATTTTATTTACTTATAATTCGCGTTAGTGAGATATTGTGTACGAAAGTCGAGACAATTTTATTCTGGCTGGACGTTTCATGTGTAATTTAAAAAGTTTGCCCCTTTGTTGACGGTCTGACACAACAATAATAGAATTCAAATTCCTTTTTGAAGTAATCTTCTTCAATTACTCTAAGTTATTGTGACTGACTGATATAATTACTAGCTGATATAGCGCAACTGTTAGGGTTGTTGCGCGAGGATACGAAGGTCGAAGGTTCAAGCCCTCGGCGACGATGTCTTTTTTTTTTTATTATTCCATGTCACATTAATTCAATTTATTTTGTTTGAATTGGATAGTAATTGTATACACTCTTTTGAAAGCAACCATCTCCAAGATAATAAAAAAAATACTGTTTATCAAAATTGTACATTCCACTTTGTGAATAACTATAAGTAGGTAGTTAATTCCTGAAAGAGTAAATTCTGTATTTTATTACTATTAGTGTTGCCATCTAGACAAGACAAGACAAGAGTTTACCTACTCTTGTCTTGTCTTGAAATTTCAAGACAAGAGTTGTATACGCGTAAGTCTTGATTAAATAAGCTGAGTGCGGTCTTGTCTAGATAACGAAAGTCTAGATTATTATTCAAGACTCTAGATAAGACGCTTAGCTTAAAGTATCATTGAAAATGCGACATCCCCTCAACGCTCTTTGCGACAACAACGCCAAACTGAAATTTTTACGCGTAAATGAAAATGAGTGGGATCTGCTTAAACAAATCTGTGGTCATCTTCATAGTTTCAAATCCTTGTCTACTGTTCTTGGTGGAGAAAAATACGTTACACTAACAATGGTAGTGATGAGCCTCAACATTCTAATCGACAAACTAGAAGAGGACGCACATCATCTAGATCAAAAAATTGATAGAACTGAAGTAGACGAAGCTATAATTTTAGCTCTGCAAGCTGCTCGCGACAAAATTCTCAAGCACTATGCGAAGACAAACTGGGTGTACTGCGCCGTTCTAATTTTAGACCCAAGACATAAAATCGAAACCTTTGAACTGACCCGATGATGTCGTGATTTGCGAGATGGTTCTATTCTAAAATTTGAGAGGAGTTGTACAAACAAAATTATTATGTTCCACCTCTTAAGCAAGCAGATCAAGCTGAAGCTGATGAAGTAATCCAAAATCAACGTTTAACAGCTGATAATGAGAATTTAACTGACCCTGAAGATAACAGTCCACTTGACTTCAATTTTTTATTTGAAAGTTCTACCTCTTCTACAGACAATTTTATTGACAATCCAAATTTCTGGAGAAAAGAAATTGATGAGTACCTTTCAAGTAAACGTGCTCCAAGAGAAGAAGATATTCTTGTTTGGTGGCGCTAGCATCAGTTTGCTTATCCTACATTAGCCAAAATGGCACGCGATTTGCTGAGTATTCCTGCCACATCTCTTCCAGCAGAACGCTTATTTTCTAGAGCTACGCTTACCATTCGTAAACATAGGAATAGGCTTAATTCCGATTCAGCCAGGTCACTCCTATATGTATCAATTCATGGGCTACCTGTCAGCTTCATGAAAGTATTAAAAAATATGTTTCTGTTTAAAATTTAATTTGTTTCTTTAACGTACTCAAATTTGAAACATATTAAACGTTTGTAAGTTTTTTTTCGTATTATTTGTAATATAGATTTGAAAATAATCAAGAGTTTTGAATAAAAGTCTTGTATGGAAAATGAAAAGTCTTGTCTTGTCTAGATAATCTAGACAAGACATATTGATGATCTTGTCTTGATATTCTAGACAAGACAAGACAAGAGTCTAGAATGTATAAGTCTAGACGGCAACACTAATTACTATCATCATGTTCTTCTTCGCAGTTCGAGTTGGAATATACTTAAATTATGTTTCCTATTTCTTATATATATTGTCTCATTCAATCATGAAATAGTCATACGAATTCAACTCGTGATTCTAATTTTCCTGGAAATATTCGTCGATTGACATACTCCAGCTTGCTGCTCTAATTTCTCTCATGACATTGATCCAAAACTACTCGCCTACGGCTCGCAGTTTTGATAACAATGTCATTCACGAAATTACTAGGCAACAAGCTGTCGTAACAATCACCGAAGATTCCCGGCAAAATATTATCACTTGTGGTATATGAGAAAACTATAGCACCTCTATTCAATTTGTTTTCTATAAAGAAAAAAATGAATGAACGAACCCGACAGTGTGACGTACTTGAGACCGGAGTACCCTCATTATCTACAGTTTACAACAAATTCATTGTTTCTTTCATTCTAGCAGAAAGAATATCAGAAGATCTACGTTTATACTCTGCAAAATATAATTCAAATTTTCCAGGCATACTATATTTTCTGTGTTTTGTTAAAAATTGCGATGCTTTCCAAGACAATTCGACTCCACCACTGGATTCCGCATCCTTCAATCAGGTTTATCGTGAAATTTCATTTCAGACAAATTCGTAGAAGCGGCAACATTGTCAACACAAATGTAGGAAATCGATGAGGTTTCTGGTAGGCATTCGAATTCATAACACAAATAAGTCTCGAGTTCGAGAAGTCGAAAAAACGCAGCTTTTCATAATCACTTAATTATTTTGACATTATGGAGGACAGCACTGATTCGACTCGGATTGGTCGGCACGGCAGCTAGTTAAATACATACATACATACAGGGTGTTATTTAAGTACGTGGCCAAACTTGAAGGGGTGATTCTTTGAGTGATTCTAAGACGAAAAGTTTATATAAACATAGGTCCGGTAATGCTTCGTTTTCAAGATACAGGGTGTCAAAATTTTTAAAAGAAATCGTTTTTTTCGTAAATATCTTAATAACCCTTCAACCGATTTTATTGAAATTTGGCAGTGTTATTCAAGGTCGTAAAGGGCTAATTTAACCCTAACTATATCAAAATTATCATGTCCACTGGCGTCCCGGAAGGCACTGTAACCAATATTTTTGACAGAAAAAATGTGCGCCACTGATTTTTTTGCAATTTTTGTATTTGTTTCACATTGAGCAACTAAAATTACAACTTTTTTATATCTAGAATTTTTTTCGGATCTTGCTTTGTTTTTGAGAAAAAAACATGAAAATCACTTCATTGCACATCCCTGTGACGAGCCGAAGCCAAGAGCCGAAGGCAAGTGCTGCAATTCATACATACATATTTTTTGTTTTTTCATTGCATTAATTTTGATAGAAAATTCCAAGACTAGAATAGAGTATTAATATGAAAAAATATTAGTAAGACCCCAGTTTTTGATGGTTTAGTAGTTGAAATGTTTTATTGTGTTGTCACAGGGATGTGCAATGAAGTGATTTTTATGTTTTTTCTCAAAAACAAAGCAAGATACAAAAAAAGTTCTAGATATAAAAAAGTTGTAATTTTAGTTGCTCAATGTGAAACATATACAAAAATTGCAAAAAAATCAGTGGCGCACATTTTTTCTGTCAAAAATATTGGTTACAGTGCCTTCCGGGACGCCACTGGACATGATAATTTTGATATAGTTGAAGTTGAATTAGCACTTTACGACCTTGAATAACACTGCCAAATTTCAATAAAATCGGTTGAAGGGTTATTAAGATATTTACGAAAAAAACGATATCTTTTAAAAATTTTGACACCCTGTATCTTGATAACGAAGCATTACCGGACCTATGTTTATATGAACTTTTCGTCTTAGAATCACTCAAAGAATAACCCCTTCAAGTTTGGCCACGTACTTAAATAACACCCTGTATAGTGTGTCTATGCGTACAAACGAATTTCAACACAAGTGAAAAGTAGTTCATCTCAATCTTGAAGATAAGATATTTTGAGCATGTGAGGAAATACAAAAACGGAAACCAAGGTTCTGATCGATAACACCAATCTCAAAAGAGGGAATCTATTGTGGCGTAACTTCACAAAAATAAATTGAAGCCTCAATGCATGGCTGTTGGCGAGCAGTGTATATCACTGAAGATGACCCCACTTGCTTCAGCAAATTTCAGGATCCCTACCCAACGATTACGTAAGATACAGGGGTGTTTCCATTAGAAGTGGGTCACACTGTATATGAGGACTAAAAATACTTGACTCCAAAATAGTTGATTTTTCATTAGCAAATGAGTATGTGGAATGTAATTTCTCGTAGTGTCGACAAAAAATGTATTATTTTATGTCGTTTCGTTTTTTCGTCTTTTTTTGACCATGCATGAGTTAAATAATCTATGGCTTGGATTCTGGAAATATACCCTGTATAGGTATAGTAGGAACTCTATGACTCCGAAAAATCCCCATAAAAAACATGAGAGAATCTATGTAGATCATTACAGAGGTCTGGAATTCTGTCAGATCTAATTCGAATTCTGTTCGAAATTGAAGGACTAAAATTATGCATTTTTTAGGATTCGGCAGAGGTGCAGACATGGGTTCAATGCGGAGTGCCCAATCAGCTGGTAAATTACATTTTAAGATTATTCTAATTATATTCATCCTTCTTTGAGTTAGCACCCACACATTTTCATCATTCTGTATATATCGATAATTCAGCTTCAACACTATATTTTCGAATACCTCTAGTTTCTCCTATAGTGGCTTCGATTTTATATACATTTTTAATGCTTGATGCTTCTTTGCTAATCGATAAAAAAAGGTTGATTCAGATCATCAAACACTGTTGGAACTGAAGTGTGAATTTCACAATATATAGTTGTTGGCTTATTGCTCGGCTTATTGAGTCCATTCTGAAGTTAAATTGACAACAAGAGACATAAACATAGCTAACCATGATCCTATACTTTAAAATTTACTTCTAATTTTCAGATTCAACAACTAATTTGCGATGTCACTGTAGCTTAATGATAATTATTTATTTCACATTATTCACTTGTTAAAACAACAATTAACAACTAAGTTGTTATTTCGATACTGTACTCTAATATCCTAAGATATTGTTATCAACTCCACCTGAATTTGTGTATTGAATTGGAAATAATTGTTCCATAATTATTGCAGAATCAGCAATAAGTTCAATGTAATATAACAAGAATCCAGATGTCATTTTGCCAAATCCAGTTGCAGTGGTCAATTATTTCCATCAAATTTAATTTTGAATTTATGAATATCTATATCTTGATGAATCATTGTTATACTAAAAGAAGTGGTAAAACTGCATTTTTTTTTCGAAAAATATTTTTTGTACTTACGTATTCTTGTCTGAAAAACACGAATATGACAATGATAATGTGAACAAACCACTATTTATCGAAATATTTCAAGAAAAAGTTCGAAATTTCGACTCCTTTTTTCCCTTGTGTTGGATGAATTTACAGGTAGGGCTGGGAAAAAATATCGATATATCGATAAATATATCGATATATCGATAAATATATCGATATATCGATATATCGAATAACGATATTTAAGTTTTTAAATATCGATATATCGATAAATATCGATATATCGATAAATATCGATATATCGATAAATATCGATATATCGATAAATATCGATAAATATCGATAAATATCGATATATCGATAAATATCGATATATCGACAAATATCGATAATTATCGATAATTATCGATAAGTATCGATATATCGATAATTATCGATAAGTATCGATACATCGATATATCGATAATTATCGATAAATATCGATATATCGATATATCGATAAATATCGATATATCGATAAATATCGATATATCGATAAATATCGATATTTATCGATATATATTGATATATCGATATACAGTGTGTCCAAGAAAAGGTTGCTCAGTAATGTCTTAGAAGCAACTGTGAGAAGAGGATATCTTTATTTAGAGAATAATGGTCATCATTTTGAACAATTGTTATGAATGTTTCTGTTGGTATTGCCAAAATTATGTTATTAAAGTAAATCGTGTATGAATTCATAATTAATTTGAAGCGCTGCATTGAATAATATGGTGAAATATTTTTTTTCCACTTTCCGGAATTGAATAACTATATAGTCCCTCAATGTTTGACACTAAATGATCAGAAATAGGGCTGGGAAAAAATATCGATATATCGATAAATATATCGATATATCGATATATCGAATAACGATATTCAAGTTTTTAAATATCGATATATCGATATATCGATAACTATCGATAAATCGATAAATATCGATATATCGATAAATATCGATAATTATCGATAAATTTCGATATATCGATAAATATCGATATATCGATATATCGAACTTATCGATAAATTTCAACTTATCGATAACCGATAACTGAAATCCAATATCGCGCAGCCCTATTTACAGGTACTTGCTCCTCTTATTTTGTCATTGGACACTTTATATACTCATGATGTACTTCAATGACACATTTTTATACCGAAAATTCAACAGGAAATATTATTTTTATGGCGAGGTTTTCATATTTAATGAACAAGCATACCATATGACGGTCATTTAATTAATAGTCAATCCAAATATGAGATGTCAAATGTCAACAGAGTGCTTTTGAATGACATTACACTACACACGCCATTATTTCTTTCTTTTCACTAAATATGGATAAATCACAAGTAAATCATACTTCTAGTTGACTCAATAATAGAAAAAAATATGTCTTACAGTGTGATATATAATATAAATTGTCCAATGATGAAAAAAGAAGGGCAAATTGTTTTAAATATCCAGAAGACAGGCGGAAAAGAAGATGAAATTTGTAACTTTATAGTGAAATATCTTGATAAATAATGGTTTGTTCACATTTTCATTATCAAATTCGTGTTTTTCAGACAAAAATACGTAAGTACCAAGAAAATATTTCGAAAAAAAAACCATCGAATGCTAAATGCAGTTTTACCAAAAAATTAAATATTGCAATAAAAAATGTTGATTTTTGAATCTATTGGAAACTAACAAAATTGAATAGATTTCAACTACCTTAACAGTGAATCGTGACAAATTAACAACAACGCTATGTGAAAATCAACATTGCATTTCCAACAGTGGACTATTGAGATTTAGTATAAAAAAATTTTCATTGACCAATAAATCATTAATGTGGATTATAAGAGATCACATTTTTGTAGTTATATAATATGGCAGAATTGCATGTTCTCTTTACAATTCGATACAAGTTATTTCAATTCACAATTATTACAATTTTGTTCGTAATTTCCATTTTCTCATCAAATGCCTACACCACATGATGTGATCTCAATATTTTCATCTTGATTTTGTTCTGAATCACCTATAATTGATTCACAAATTGTCTTAGTCCTTAGATATATAGTATCTAGTCTAGTGCTCTCAATAACTTCTTATACAGGGTGTTAATTAATGGACTGTCCGGAGAACAGATCATATCAACATATATCCTAAATCTCTCAGTTTTTGAGCTACAGGGTGTTCAAATCAAAACATTCAATATCTGGCCTACGTGAACATGAATAGTAGAAGTAAAATAATGATTTTCGTCTCAAAACAAAATGTGCTTCCACTCATAGTGGGTGCCTACTGAATTTTAACAAAATTCCAAAAACAATCTCAATGAACTGAAAAAAAAAACATCTTTTGTTTTTGATTTTTTTCATGAGAAAACGGTACGTTGTATGAAAGTAAGCCTGGAAACCAAATTTTCTCCTAAATGAATGGAGATTCCAAAAATAATTTTGGTTTTCAGAAAAATCAGTTGCTTACCATTTTTTTCTTGAGAAATTGTTCAAAACCCGAACGGACGTCACTAGTAAAAATTTCAGGAAATTTTCCCCGTAAAAAAATGCTTCTCAATGATGAAAAGGTACGAAATGTCATAAGAATATCTGAGAGTGATTGAAAATTATTATAGAGATCTCACGATTTTCTCAGGACTTCAACACCTTGTAGCTGAGAAACTAAGAGGATTAAGATATATGTTGATATGAATTTCTATTTTTAAAATGACTTGATGATTCACACCTTATATTATCGGCACTCAATTAATTAACACCCTGTATAGTACATTGGTTTCTGATATAAACTGCCTGACAAATGGAGTGGTCCACCTGAATATTTCAACCAATTATGAAAACAAATGTTCTAAGAAATACGAATCTGGAACAGTTTGTTCCACGTTATGTTGCAATCATTCGAGAATAAGATGGTTCATCTACTCTGCCATAAAGTTGTGTTCTTAGATCTACAGGGGGAAACATGGACCCAATAAAAAAAATTAATTTTCGAATTTATCCGAATCATTTGAAAACATGTTCGGGTTTTTCTCTAGGGCCTATTATGAGAAAGAGAAATGGATCAAAGTTTTTCCAATTTGTTCAAAAAAATCTTTCATTTAACACTTCATAGGAAATTTTCAGCCTCGTATAGTTTTTTCTGAAACTGTAAAATTTGTCAGGCACAGAAGAAATAAATTTCACTCATTTTGCATTATTTTCAAAGCAAACACTATTCATGTAATCCAAATTTGCGGACACAGAATGAAAATAGTTAATTATGTACTAAGGACTAAAAACTGTCCTTTATAGTCGAGTCTGGAAATTGATAGCCGAGGCTAGCAATCAGGCGAGATGATAGATAGTTTTTCGCCGAGGTGCATATTGACTTTTTTCGTCGACCTTAAACATACTCATATCAACATCACGGTCCTATTCACAGTTCACACGTGAAATCTCTGATTTCATGAATAATTAATTTGACAACAGCAAATGACAGTTGTTGTCATCTTACTCTCCGCGAGGACCAGGGTTGACAGTTCGATTTTCATTTCATCAGTGAATACCTTGTCAAATATTCAGTACTATTTCATGCTATACGAATTCCAAGCAAGGATAATGAGATGAATCCACAGAACTGGTCTTTGAGTTCTGTGGGTGAACCTATGACGTCAGAACATTATGTACGTTAAGTGAACAAAGAAGTAACCTATTTCTAACAAAATGAAAAAAAAACATAACAAACATCCTCATGAAAAAATATTCATCTAGAATTCTCATTTTAAATATACTCATAAATATCACAAAATACTGTTAAATAGGTAGGTACTTATGAGATTTGAGTATAAAAAACAGAAACGAATAGTAAAAATGAACACTGAAAATACAAAACGAATGAAAAAATTCAACGTAAGAAACAAACTGTTGTAATAGAGGTATATAAAAATTGAATTTGATCTGAATCAGATAAAGTATTGTCCTTTTTTGGTTTATACATATCATTAGTACTTTTATGTAAATTTATAGCTTATTTTGTAAAATCAATTCAAACAGAGCGTGCCGAAATATGCAATTAATAATAGTGTATGTGATTGACTTAATATAATGATAATCTAGGTGATTATAATGTTGAATAAGTGTCAAAAATTGTTTGCATTAGGATACGAAATATTCAGTACATTAATATGCAAATGAGGAGATCTACTGAAAATTCATTAGAACTGGCAACCCTGCAGCGGAGGAAAAGTTAGTGTCTG